TTTGCTAACACGTATCATAACACGCTGCTCACACGGCTCAGTGCAGTGTGTGAGGCAGTGCACAATTTTCTTGCCCTTCATACATTCCTCTCAATGGACGTGACATCAACGTCTGACTTGTTACATGACGTCTGCGTCTACCTTTTTTTTTTAAATATATATTTTTGAGCAGTTTTTAGTGCGTCTGTCTGCTTTTTGCCGGCTAACTTATACAATATACAATAATTATGTGCAAATTAAATATAAATATGTTAATATATAATGATATTTGTTTTCAAGATAGCATTAAAACGTATAAAAAAAATGTATAACATCTCCGGAGGTAAAGTTTAGGTTGTTTATTAATATATTCATGTCGTTTAGTTTTGTAAAATCCTTTTTTAATTTGTTTTATATTTGAGTCTTATTGTGTTTTAATTTTTTACATGTTTAATGTAGCCTACGGCATATCAGTGATGACCAACTCATCGATCACTATCGCCTGTTAGATCTGATACTTTTGCTGTAAAATATTAGAAAAATAGAAAATTACATTAACCATTATTGTGTTGTTTTTAAAGCACATTTCTTCTTTATTTTACGTTTAAAACATAATAATAGGATTCTTTGACAAAAAAACATAACATATTTTATTTTTCAGTTGTTTCCTTTCTTTTTTGAAAGAAAATATATATTTTTATTCAGCAATAATGTTACATTGATAGTATTTATATTTTGAATAATAATTTGCCAGGATTCAATCAATCAATCCTGTAAAAATATCATAGAAAAACATTTAACAGCACAACTTTGACAATACACTGAAGGATCATGCGACATAATAGTGTCAAAAAATTTAACTTTGCATCACATAAAAAAAATAAGTATATTAAAATAGAAAAGCAATATTTAAAATTGTAATATTATTTCCTAATATTACCCAAACCCTGAACCATTAATAATAATAACCAAAACATTGATTTTTAATCCTAAAACGTTGAATAGCCTAATGTTATTTGAAATCATCAAAAATAATTAAAATTTGCTTTAAATGTTACATCTAAACTAAAAACTAAAATCGCCAGTAGGTGGCAGAATGTCACTATTACAGTTTTTCCCAATTGTTTACACACAATTACTTGTACCTCAGACACAATGACTACAACATGTAACTGATGCACCAACCCCCTGAACCAATGCAGCTAAACTACAAGCACAATTCCTGCTTTACACTCAAATTGCAGGTTTAAAACACACTTTTTCAAAACACTACACACAATTCTCTGCATTTGGCACAAATTTCATGCAGAAAATCTCGTTTTAACATGGAACACACTGTCATTCACAATTGTAAAGTCAGTTGTCCTACTTTGCATACTAACTCATCACATGAGTAAACACCTGTCACACAGAATTACAATTTAGAAATCAGAGCTCATCTGGTTTATAACTGGTACACTGTCCACCCATGTTTTTAGTTGTTTATCTCCTTCCATATTCTCCATTCCTTAATCATATTGAAGATTTTTTTTCCTGCTTGGGGATGGAAAGTGTATGCTGAAATTTCGTTTTTTACTAACAGTATTCTGTAAATCCTCCTGTTAATGGCAAATGAAGACCACATTATGTGCACCTTTGTGTTGGTTGGGATGAACACTCTGTAAAGTGAAAATACAGTAAAATATATTTGGTATTTGTGTGTTTTGTATAAAAACAATATTCTGAAATATTTTACAATGCACTTCTGTAGGCATATGTACTGTCTGTAGTAACTGTAACACTAAATGAAAAAGGCTGACAGTAAGTCATTATGATGAATGGAGAAGAAGTGGTCATTGTGTTTTACATTCAGCACATCAGTGTTCAACTGATCTTATAAATGTTGATGTGATGGTTTGTGTGCGTCATTTGAAAACAAAATACCATGTTGAGAAGAAATTACATTGTGTTGATAGTGTTTCATTTTGCAGGAGAATTGAAGGGTTTCACCCTAGAGTTCTGACAATATGAGGCATGCTTTCAGAAAATGTGTGAAAACTGTAAATTGTGTGAATTTCAGTCATACACACTTTCCATCCCCAAGCAGAAAAAAACTTTAATAGGATTAAGGAATGGAGAATATGGAAGGAGATAAACAACTAAAAACATGTGTGGACAGTGAACCGGTTATGAACCAGATGAGCTCTGATTTTTAAATTGCAATTCTGTGTGACAGGTGTTTACTCATGTGATGAGTTAGTATATAAAGTAGGACAACTGACTTTACAATTGTGAATGACAGTGTGTTCCTTGTAAAAACAAGAGATTTTCTGCATGAAATTTGTGCCAAATGCAGAGAATTGTGTGTTGCGTTTTGAAAAAAAAGTGTGTTTTAAACCTGCAATTTGGGTGTAAAGCAGGAATTGTGCTTGTAGTTAAGCTGCATTGGTTCAGGGGTTGGTGCATCAGTCACATGTTGTAGTCATTGTTCATTTACAGTTTTTTTTTTTGATTGCTCAAGCACAATTTTGAAATGAAGGCTCATTTTGTCAAAACACTACACACAATTTCCACATCCACGCACACAAACAGCAGAACACATCAGAACTTTTGCAAAATGAAACACTTCATCTAAAACTTTACAACACTGTAACAAAACACAATTTTAACACCGTACAGAACACACACGCCTCATTCAAGATAAATCTGTTCGCTTCATTTACACACTGCTGATCTCAATCTTAAACACTCGTATAATTTCTACCTGACTAATACTGATATAATCTGGGTTTGATTTGTTTCAGAGATATTGCTATAAAGTACATGAACATACTGTATTCACCAAACAGTGATAGACTGTTTTTATTCAGCTTTCTGGTGATGTGTACATTTCAATATATAAAAAAATCCCATGCCCTGTCTCCTGTTTACCAATCTTCCTCCCTTCCGTGCTTCCTCTTCCATACTGCGACATTGCCTTCCATATTTATTGAAGATTATTTATTTATAACTCCTTTTAAACATATTTATTGAAGACTAATATTTACAACTATACTACTGTTAACAAATGTATTGTAGATCAATATAATAGCCTAGTTTATACCTAATACCCAGTTACAGTTTTTCATGATTGCTAACACACTAAAATTAAACTTTTCCTACAATTAGCAAAACCGTACAATCATGGAGCAAAACACAAGGCTAGATCTGCACAACTGTAGGCACATGGCTTCATACTGTTTGCAAAACATTACACAGTCATTTGCAAATCACTAAACACACTCGGATGCTTTTGACACAGACATTTTTCATAATGGAATTTCCTTGCAATTTCAAAGCAAAGGCTTTCATATGAGCACACACATGAACTATAGGTCAAACACAGCCATCAGGTGTGCACACACACTGCTGCAAACTGTAGACACACACACCAATCAGCTGTAACCACAATGAAAGAAGCAATATAGGAATAACCATATATGGCATACCAAAATGTTTAAATCATTTGTATAAATATTTACCATTTGGAATAAAAAACTATAAATAAGAAAGGTAAAAAGCACTCAATTGCAAATGAAACATAACTGTGGATAAGTGAAAACACTGATAGAGAATGAATAGGTATAATAATGCAGAAATAAGAGCAATGTGCTGCAAACCCTTGAAGCAGACGTGACGCAGACGTCACGTTAAAGCAGCGGAACAGTAATGTGGCAGACGCAGACGACACGTTCGGCAGACGCAGACGTCACGTTCGGCAGACGCAGACGTCACGTTCGGCAGACGCAGACGTCACGTTCAGTGAGACGAGTGCACGTTGCAGCGTCAAGTTATTGACCCATTCCGCACGCCATACAAACACAAACACTAGTACAAGAGCGCGCGCGTCTGAGGGACGCAGAGCGTGCGCGGCCACATCATGTGGCAGCGCGCACACTCCGCGTACACCCACGACGGCGCACGCGCACACAGAGACAGAAACAGGACCAGACATTGAGTAGTGTCAGAGCTCTGCCACCAAAACAAGAATTTACAAGACCAAAGTGGCAGAACCCTGACAGTTTTAAGCACACATCTACAAATATAGTTTTGTTGTATATTAACAATTTGGTTGAGCAACAAACCACCTCATTAAAAAAACTAGATGGTACAAAACACCAATATGGTGCGGCTAAATATCAGCTTCGATATAAATGGCCCTGGGAGTAAGTAAGTATAATAACAACTTACTAAAAAAATAAGAATAAGTTAATACAACACTGGTCAAATGATTTGTTGAATTGTTTGAAAGATCTGATATTAATGTCTCTTCTGCATTCACTTCCAGTAAAATTTACTGTGAAATCTTATTTAAATACATTAAAATGGGGAGAATAATTGAAAATTTCAAACACATTCAATTAGAAAACTATTTGTATGTAAATAATATTTTACAGTGTTACTGTAGTGTATATTTGATCAAATGAATGCAGCCTTGATGAGCAGAAGACATTTCCTTTCTAAACATAAAAGAAACAACTTTCCCAAATGTTTGCAATTATTTGTAATTTTATAAATTTTTCATTGAACTTTTAATCTATAATTAATTTGTAACTGTAACTGTTGTGTGGCAACAGTTTGTGAATGTAACCAGCTTCCAATGCTATAAATGTATTCATTAAATGTTTATATTCATACTTTATAAAAACAGTCTGCAGAAACACTTTGATTGGCATTCTCACATTATATATGTTATCAGAGGGGGAAAGCCCAGCCTATCAGTGACAATCTCTCCCTCCTTAGCACCCCATTAGACCTCAGTCTTGTTTTTGAACCTGCCACATTTGCGGACACATAGGCATTTGTAGCTCTGCACTTTTTTAAAAAGAGCACATTCATTTATATTTAAAGCTATCAAAGGACCAATGGAATTAAGATCAAAGCCTAAATTAAAGCCTATTTAAATTTAGTTTAAACAATGTCTAGATCCTTTTATTTGAAAAATGAACAAAATATGACGCAATTCACAAATTTATAATAAAAGTTAGTTTGAAGCGGTTTACCTTCATTCTGTTATTAAAGAGTTTTCCCTTGATTTGATATGAACCATCTGGTCGTTGATGGCTCACCAGCCATTCCTTTGATTTCTCGATTTTTGGGGGGTCAATGAAGATGTAATCTTGTGCTTTCCCGAAAGTCCTCAGCACAAACGCGGTCAGCCTGTTAGTTCATTCAGTTCAATGTAGTTATTTAGACCCATCTAAAGATTTGTGATGTAGTTGTCATGCTATTACTAGCATTTGATTTGAATGAATATTCATTACAGGACAGCTGTTAAAGTTCAGTCTAACAGTTCATTTTAACAGTAAAAAGAAATCTTACCATGTGTTGCCTTCACCTTGACCAAATGTTGTATATGACCCATCCAAATTCAAATAGTTCAGTTGCCTCTGATAACCTGTGCAGTATTTTGATTGAGATTATTTCCTTTAGATACGCTATATATATAGAGAGAGAGATGAAATTCTTCTGAATGTCTCTTACCGCTCTTAAGGAAGCCAGAGGCTCTCTCTCGAATGGCGGATGTGAGCTGATTTGTGTTCTCCAGATACTGCAGAATGTAAATGTTGGGAGAAAGAACAGCAATATTTTGTTCTCCACAGCCGTACGGCATTCGTAATAAACCATCAAGGTTCTTCAGAGCACGGCCCAATAAGTCTCCTACAAGAAGACATGTGAATGTACTTTTCTAAATTAGATGTGAATGATATGATGCTAATATATGACTTTACCAAGCACTGAAACAGTGGCTCTTCCTGAACCCTCTATCACATTTTGTGGAAAAGCCAGCTCTACCTCCTCCAAGTGATTTTGCCCTGTTTGTGAAGGCACAACGTAACTTCAAGAACCAATCAAAATCTTTTAATAACATTGCATATGGTATGAACGCAAAGAGAAATTACCTTTGGGGCAAAGCAGCCAGCTGTGGCTTTTAGTTTTTTCAATTCCTTCAGCCTGAGGGACACAGGTTCATGTCAGCACAATTTAGCTTCTCATGGTCAATGACTTTTATAAGGAACTATTTTAGACAATATGAGAGTCTGTAGACAATACATTTTTTACCCACATTGACACGCAGACTCCGTGTGACGGTGTCAATGCGTCCTCTCTCTGGCACACTCACAATCTCATTGTCACACACAGTCTGGGACGCCTCTGCCTCTGCACTGACTGTAACATTCACCACTCCTGCAACACAAGACATGTGAGTGAAGATACAGCAGACGTAAACTCTAAGAAACAATGATTCAGACTGGACTAGTCACCAAGAACAGAAGGAGTAAGGATCCATTTAAAGGTTTTTCTTCCATTAGCACAGAGACAGGATGAATACTGATCATCAGAGGAGGCTTTGAGAGTGTAGTCTGAGGAAGGAGCTGGACTCACTTTAACCTGTCAATCAAGCACATGTGATGAGTGGAATATTTGATCTGATTGGATCAGGCTGAGTCTGAAATCTCACCATGATGCACTTGGACTGATAGTTGAAGACAGTGGCCTTGAGCTCAAAGATCTCCCCACGAACAATGGAGTAAGGCAGAGAGAGCTCCAGGAAGAAGGGCTGGAAAACTATCAGCTTAGCAGGAGGAGCCAAACCCAGACCTGTGGAGGACAGACAGAAGGCCTCCGTCGCCCAAGATGTGATGGTGTCAGGAACTGTGACAGGAACCTCAGCTGATCCAGAGTCTCTAAAAAATAATATGGATTTAACAATATCTTGTTTAACAGTCAAACAAAAAACCTGATAAGCATCTTCATACTTTTGAGTCCATTATTTACTCACCCAACCTCCACAATTTCCCAGATCCAAGTTTCTGGAAAGAATGTGCGAATTGTCTCCTCAGGCAAGAGAGAGATGCTCAAAGTTGGAAGTGGGCTTGGTATAAGTCTTTCAGCTTCAGCTACGACTCCACCTCTTGCTGGAATAAGGGCTCCTGCACCTAATGATACATCACTACTATTATTGTGAACTCGATTATTGTTGTTGATGATGTGTTTATGACAAAATTAATACTAATGCCTGGTTGTCTTAATGTTTGACTTTTAAAGATTTGAGAAGGAAAAAAGGTTGTATTTACTGGAAACTATATTGACAGTTAGGAAAAATTGCAATCATACAGTGTTGAAATATTGTACTTAGCTTTTGTTCTTAGTTTTTTTTTATTAAAAATATGAAAAACAAGTAGATTTGATTTGAATTTTACTTTTCTATTATTTATTTAAATTGTGGTAGATAATGATAATAACTGTTTTACTACAGATAATAAAACATTTCAGTTAACATTATAATAACTCGGAAATGTTCTCGTTCAGGGTATATATTTAATGAAACTGAAGCCTTTGTACTTTGACAATTGCTACACTTACTACACGAGCTATGCTACATGAGTAACACATACTGTACTAGCCACACCATTTTAATTGACAAGAATTTATATTGAAGCCAGTCTGATATGGTAATGGTATCCTCCACACAGTTTAAAGATGATGCTACCACGCTACAGCATGAGAAGCAATTTGTGCATTTAATCTAGTGGTCCCCATCCCCAGGTACCCATCACTCTAAAAATACACTATAGCAAAATAAATTTGTAAAGAGATCTGTACAAGAAACTGAAGATCACTAAAGACACAGCCTCTGCAAATGATCCTGAGCATGTCTAATAATAATCTTAAATGTTAGGAATCTGTCATATTTACTATTTTAGCTAATTTGTAGTTCCACGTCAATTATTCGGACCTTACATTATTCTTGTAGGCTACTATGGTAACATTTCACTTCACAGTCTGATGTTGTTTTAGGTAATATTGTCATTTCAATATGGCGTTATTTTGTTTTAAGTGCATGAACAATAAACAATGAAATGAATAGGCATGAGCAAATAACTACATTTATTCCGGTTTGTTGCGCCTGCCAGACTTGTTATATCTCTATTCCCTATCATTGGGGCTCACCCACACTTTGAGAAAAGCTGCACTAAACGTTTACTGCATGTTAAGGCCTTCATACTGTGGCATGTTAGTCTGTTCAGTTAAAGAAATAAATGTTTTTTGTGATTATTTATGATTACTAAAATACTCTAGAATAAATTAGAATAAAAAAGGAAAAGACGGATTTTATGCTTGACATCTTCTCTCCTTCATATCTAAAATAATGCTATGTCCCCGGGTTTCAGCTAAAAAACTTCTCTTATGATCAACTGAAGAATAAAGTCACTTACATCTTGGATAACCTGAGGGTGAGAATATTGACTGTAGTTTTTGTAAAATTGTAAGTTTAGTTTGACAACGGAATAATCCTTAAAATCAATACATCTATACTGTACATACTGAGGCACACATGCCCATTTGAGAAGAAAATAACACACTTATACAGTAACAATATTCTATAAACAGTATATGATATGCTTACATGGGCACAAGAACACTAGTTACTAGTGCATACATCTAAGATACACTTTAGATGTTGCACATAATCAATAAATGGTTGATTAAACTATAAATCATTGATTCTTTTTATAACCCCAGTAGCCTTTATGCAATCCAGAGTTCTAGTATTTTGAGTGCCATTTGCACATGTTGTTCTGCTCTCTTTCGATACATTTTAAGACCTTATAGCCACTTTGGGTTTCAACTGGAAAGACTGGTGAGATTTTAACTTACAATATATTTATTAAATATTAATATAAGAAATTAATCCAAAAGTAAAACATTATTAATTTATATTAAATCAAAATCTATTAAATCTAGCTAATTCAGCAAGTTGGCGCCTATAGAACTGCAGAAATAATGGTGTTGCCTTGGTTACTTAAGTAAACAAAGCAGCATGATGTCAAATCGAGCAGGATTTCATTGATTTCAGAAACTTCACAGCATGCTGATATTCGCAAATTTAATTCAGGTAAACTTTAGTACACAACCATACATTGCAGAATCAAAAATGATATAAAATGTAATACCTGGCAAAATAACATATAAGACTTTTAAATACTTTTTGACGGCCTTAAATTTCTCTATATTAATTTATAAATTTTTAAAACTTTTTAAGACCCTGCGGACATCCTGTGGTAACAATGTGCCACTAAAGTAGACACATTACTTATTTTGCATTAAGGTTAATAATTAATCAATTGATTGATTATTAATATAAACATTGTTTGCTCAAGGGGATTTCACATTCTCTTCAAGGTTAACTATTCCTGTAAAGCCATTTCAAGATTCATACAGGTTATTCTTGGTCCAAGTATAAACATACATAAAAATATGGAAAGATCCTATTCCTGACCTGGTGCTCCTGCTAAAGCCGGAATTGCAGGAGGATCTATTCCACGTGGAACAGCTCCATAACCAAAACCAACACCATAACCTGCAAATCAACATATATGTATACATATATACATACATACTGCAAAAAAATAAAAGGCAACACTTAAACAACACAATGTAACTTCAAGTGTTCCCTTTATTTTTTGATCAGTATATATGTGTAAAGCGAGTGAGAGAGAGATATAACAAACTGATGTCTTACCACCATATGCTCTCTGAAACAATACATCTCTGAATTTAATACAATGTGGGATTCTAATAACCAAATTTGTTGCCACCTTTAATCCCATGTTCTGTTTCCGATGTCAATGTAAAAAAATCAAGAGAAAAAGTCTGTTACATTAACTGCACACAGTCTCAATTGTAATACATCTTTCACAAACACAAACCCCCCAAAATCCCAAAATGTTTTTTTCTAAACACAAACCCCCCCAAAATCCCCCAAAACTTTAAATACGTACCTTGAAAGTCTCAAACACAGCATCTCCTGTACTCCCTGAAAGTGGGGGGTACATATTATGGTAGGATGGTACTGCTCCATATTGAGAAATAGCTGGCATAAACCGCAAACTTCTTTTGGATCTAAATTTCAAGCATTCCATCTGATCTTCAACATCGTATGTAAAAGTCATTGTTGGCAACATTTTAAACACCTGTTGAAATGTGACAGGAATCCAGTGACATAACCATTTTAGAGTGAAGAATGTTCACTGAAGAAGCTTGAGAACAGGTCTAAAAGACATTACTTTGTCAGCATCCAGGCGTTGTCCTGACTCCAGGATCAGGACACTCTGATCTACAGCACTGATACCACACAGTGAACCAGGCTGAGCTGAGAGCTGGAGAGTGTTTTCTTCACCTGGAACTGCAGTAGTTGGTGAAAACCGCAGCGAGACCTATGACACGATATATTAACCAATCAATTATTGGGAATATATCTGGTTCATCCTGAAACAACTTTATTTATAATCAGTACATATATATATTATATATATTATTACTATTATACATATATATTATTATATATATATATATATATATGTTATTATTATATTACTATAGACCATTTCAATGTGGTCTTGTCATTGGTCCATGAACATTTCCTGCTTGTTATCAAACTATTTCAAAACTGTAACGAGAGGCCATTCAATCATAACTTAATGTTAAAACAGCTACCATAACATTATTTATCAATGTGTCTCTTTTTGGAGTATTGGAAGCTATAGAAATTAAAAATATAAAAAAGGAAATACATTGGGACCATTGTTTTTGTTAACATTCCTCAAAATGGTCTAAATAATGCACAGTAAAAAAATTGGCATAAATTAATTTCCTTGTCCAAATAGAATAATGACAAACAGTTTTGAGCATAAGAATTAAACTATGGATTTAATTGTGATTAAACTAAACATTGGTGATAAATGATATATGCTTAAATAAAACAAATTATTCAAGCATAATGGTACTGTACAATGTGTACTAATCCATACTGGATAGTAAAAATTCTTTCTCCTGACAGACTGCTCATATATAATGTTCTCATATGTGTTCTTCTAGGCCAGGGATCACCAGATTTGTTCCTGGAGGGCCGTTTTCCTGCAGATTTTAGCTCCAACCTAATCAAACACACCTGAACAAGCTAATCAAGATCTTACTAGGTATACTTGAAACACCCAGGCAGGTGTGTTGAGGCAAGTTGGAGCTTGCCTCAGCACACCTGCAGGGCACCGGACATCCAGGAACGAGATTGGTGACCACTGTCCTAGGTTGTCAATAGACTGATGTCATTGTACTTTTTATTTCTTAGTGGAAAATGGTGTAGATAAAAGCTATGTCCACACAGATAGTGCTTTGTGGAAAAGCTTGATAATGGGCAGTCGGTGATTTTCACAAATGAAACTAAAACACTGTATATTCTCTAACATAAATGCAATCACCATATTCTTATAGACTCACCTTGTTTTCAAAACATTTCTCAGTTTGAAATGTTTTGGACGCAGCAAGTACATTCTCACTGGGCAGCACACAGTATGCCAAAAACTGTATTTCTGGAGCCATCCGAGAGCGAAAAGGGACTTTAAACGTCACTTCTCCCTTCACTACTCTGTCAGAGCCTTTCAGCTCAATGCTCTCATATCCGTGGGAGACTATTTGTGCTCTTGATAAAACCTGACAATGAAGCGAAAAGGACAGAAAGTAAAATAGCTGCACAACAAAAATGTTTAGCATTTTGCTGCATCTCTGCACCCACCAGATAGACTATGGTAACACTTTCAGCAGTCTCTCGAGCAATAGTGTACTGCACGGTCACTGAAATCTCCACCCCACACTTCAGCGGTTCCTCCAGTGCCTTTATATCCAGTTGGCTCTTATTAAATGAATCTTGTTTGGGCTTTTTTTGCAGGGTTTTGTGCGCAGAATCAAAACTGAATGGAACAAACTCTGGTGTGCTTAATAAACTTGCCTGTGAGATCAAAGACCACATGATCACATCTTACTAAAGAAAAACTGATGTAATCAAATACCTACTTTAAATTAGAATTAGCTAATTACATAGAAACAGCAAGTAAGAAATATCATGTTGAGGAAGAAATACTGAAATTACAGTATGCTTGAATACATGAATTATAGATTGTTCTGAATGGAAAGCATCTGTATGAGGTGCCGTGTAGGATTTAAATCAAACTTTGCTTATCAACACATACATAAAACACATGCATATACACCTTTAAATTACTCGCATATACACCTATACTACTGGATGTTCAAAACAACATAGATGAAACTTGTGTATATACATATAAACTTGATGCATGAATACACCCACTATACTGTACACACGTGCATACATATAAACTCGATCCTCACATAAACACTCACATTAACACACGCACATACTGTACATATAAACTTGCTGCATGCAAACACATTCATACACACTTGCATATACATATACACTTGCTGCATGCAAACACACCTATACACACTCGCATATACTTATAAACTTGATCTATGCATATACACCCATAAACTCTCACATAAGAATGTAAACTTGATGTGTGCATAAACAAATTACACTTGTGCAAACATACAAAATAAAATTCACAAACATATATACAGTTAGTTGTGTATATACATATATGCAAGTGATTTCATATGTGTGTATGCATGAATTTTCACTGTAAAAGGAAGTTATTTCACTTTAAAAGGAAGTAGTTTAATTTCAACGTAAAAGTCCTTTGAGCATAATGAACAAGATTATTATTTGTCATGAATCAGGTTATTGCAAAGCTTAAGAAACAGAAATAATGCAATTAATAGACAAATTACATCTGTTGAATTATGAAAATAGATTATGCTAATTCTAAAAAAATAAATAAAAAGATAATGCTAAGGAATACTCCAGCAAAATTAAAGGTTTATTATACAATTTATTTATTGGAAATGTTATTATGGTTTAAGAAATATAAGGTTGCTTAAGTAATCATTTTGAATAAAATATGTTTGTTTAATATTAGTTTTTTTATGTTTGTTTTATTATTGTTGTCACTATTCGTCAAGGGTTATGGTACACACTTATGTCTAGTAGTGGGCAGGAATGCATTTAAGTGAGTTTTCCTGTCACCAATAAACAGGCTAATGCACCAAAATGCTGGATGTCAGCTGCTGTAAAAATATAAGTAGTAGTTATTAAACACAAAAGGACTGTCCAGAGGATATATATAGCTTTTCCATGGGGGTTAACTTGACCAACATGATGAACAGAGACTTTCAATCAGCGTTTTTTTATTTATCTTTTTTTGTATATGCTGAATAATTAACAATCAAAATGATACCAAAATCTTGCAATTTTGACACCCACATTGTAAAAACATAAAAAAGCATCAAAATTATAAGAATTTAAAAAACAAAACAAGAAGACTTTAGGCTACATTAACATTTGCAATAGAATAGAGGAGTTTAGTTTGAGTAAACATTTATATTTATAGTTCTGGTTGCTTTTTAAACGTTCTTTAAGGGTTCTATCTGTCCATTTATATTTGTGTATGTAATTACCTGATTAAATTAAAAGGTTTAAAATAAAAATATTTCTTATTTTAAATAGTCTATTTATATAGACTAATATTTTATATAACATATGTTCATAATTTAACATATTTAATCCCTCTATTAATCGCATTCCTTCTATTTCATAAGCTTTGCAATAACCAGATTCGAGATAAACATGTTTGTGAACTTTATTTATTTTTTCTGTGTTTGCGCGAGTGTTATTTTCGCATTGAGTTTAGGCATTGGGGCTATATGCCAGCATAGGTGTGTTTGCATGCAGTCAGTTTGTGCATGTGCGTGTGTTGTTGTGGGTGTATATGCATAGATTGAGTTTATATGTATATGCGAGTGTGTATAGGTGTGTTTGCATGCTGCAAGTTTATATATATGTCCGTGTAAATGTGGGTATTTATGCGAGAATCTAGTTTATATGTATATGCAAGTGTGTATGAGTGTGTTTGCATGCAGCAAGTTTATATGTGCGTGCGTGTGTTAATGTGAGAGTTTATGTGAGGATCAAGCTTATATGTATGCTTGTGTGTATGTGGGTGTATTCATGCATCAATTTTATGTATATACACAAGTTTCATCTATGTTGTTTTGAACATCCAGTAGTATAGGTGTATATGCGAGTAATTTATCGGTGTTTATGCATGTGTTTTATGTATGTTTTGATAAGCAAAGTTTGATTTAAATCCTACACGGCACCTCATACATCTGCATGGTGGCACAGAATCAACACATGGATGGGATACAAATAAAAAGCTTACCGTTAAAATTAAAGTAGTACCTATCCCAAAGGACGTATCAATGGTGAAATTAGCCAGCCCATTGATGTCTGTGATTAGTTCTCCAATCCCAGATGGGACGTAGACAACTAACTTGATGTTAGAAACTGGTTGTCCATTGAATAGCTCAACTTTAACCTGGTGAAAAAGAATATACAAGTCAATAAATAAAGCAAAAACACTGCAGAATTAAACGCAGTAACCAAAGTCAAAACTTTCCCATGTTACATTTCTAAATGTGGACCACCAATTTGGTTTTCACACACATTTTATTACCATATGAAATGCAAATAATTAATTATAAATGTAAATTAAATAGTGTACCTTGGCCTTTATGACTGATCCTTCCTCATAAAAATCAGGCACGTCAATAAATTTGACTGTACCAATAATATATGACAATGTGACTTTTTCGGTCCCCCCCTCAGTGATGCCTGGAAAACATAAAGTTTTAAAAATCATCAAGCATTCATTTATTTTCCTTTGGCTTAGTCTCTATTTCAGAGGTCGCCATAGCGAAATGAACCGCTAACTATTCCAGCATATGTTTTACGCAGCAAATGCCCTTCCAGCCATAAATAAGTATTGGAAAACACCCATTCACACACATACACTACAAACAATTTAGTTTATTCAATTCACCTATCCTGCATGTGTTTGGACTGTGGGAGAAATTGGATTTGGAAAGTTCCCTGGTCTCTTTTTTTCATGTTTGTTACAATACACACCTGTTCCCTCCTCAGTAATGGATGCAGTGAACTCGAGAGACTGCGATGTAATGTATTCCACTACTGATTTTTGAATAAAAGATGACAAGGGGAACATCTCAAAGGCGCACCCAGTCTTGTTCAGCTAGGAAAAAAGGGTAGGGGAAATATTTGTATATTTAAAGTGCACTGTTAAACTTTGCCACAATTACACATTTATTTACTGCAAAGACGGCAGAAGTCAAATTTCACATTCATTCATTTCAGTTTACTAATGTATTGTGCACTTCCTTTCAAAGCTTTTACAGTAACTTACTGCACATTAGGATTCTGCAGTATTCTACTGTAATCAAAAATGAGATAGTTATGAAAAAAGTGATCAATTAACATGTATGTATTTAAAATAGATTGATGAAAGAAAATGACTTTTGTAAACCAATTAAAATAGATATTATAATAACAATGAACAATAATAAACAAATAAATTACAGTGAAAGTACTGTAAAAATGGTCATACTGTAAAATTAAAACATGATAAAGGGCATTTTATCATAAAAAGAAGTCGCAATAAGGATATTTGACTGTAAAATAAAATTGTGTTAAGGCCCTGACACTGTAAAACACATTTACAGTTAAGTCACTGTAAAAGGGCAGTTGCTTCGAGTAAGTTACTGCAAAAATACAACGTGCGTATGCATGCTTTAAATGTTACTTGAATAAATAAACAAGGGAATATGTAATTATACTTACTACTGCTGACCCAGTAACACAAAATGGAATTTGATAATGGGAACCGAAATAAGAATTGATTATTCTGGATGAGCAGAGTGTCATCTTTACTCTTCCCAGAACAGGTCGTCCATGGGTGTATCTATGCAAAGCATACTTTTAGTTAACAAATGCTTCCGGCTAAATGTGCTCAAATGTACTGTTTTAACCAACTCACCTTCCGCACACCCCCAGCTTTACTTCCTTTTCATTACCTCTTACTAACTTTGGCTTATGTATTTTCACTTCGAATTTCGGTAGAACTGAACCATAAAGAAAACTGTAATGTTAGCATTCAAAACAGTAATACACTCTCTTAATGGTTCCATATAGTACCATACACATTCACAGAAATGTTTCTTTGCATTATACAATTTGCATTTCTATCATAGATAAAGGGCTATGTTTAGACTGTCAGTGTCTGAAACTGACAACAGGAACAAGGCCACTTTCATGCAGAAAATGGTTGTCAGTCTGGTATTTTAATCAATACATTTGCATGCATTTGCATTTAACACAGTTGCAACTACATGTATAGCACTGACTTTGCAAGCTTACATGTGAGATTTGAAACAACACTAAATCGCTGTTTAATATAGTTAAGCTGTAATCTGCAGATTGTTCTGCCAGAGATACTTAAAAGTGATCATTCACCCAGACATGAATATTATATTGTCATTAATTTATCATCTGCTTGTTCTAAACATTCATTTTAAGAGTTTACACTTAGCTGATAATAAAGTGTAATTGGCATGCAGACACGGGAGAGAGCCCTGAGCTGGTAATATCCTCAAGCCAGGGGCTCCCTCCCGTTAGAAGAGTAAGAGAGGAGTTCGAGCTCAGGTAGGTCTCGAGAACTCTCCTGCTTGTCTCCATTTGAGAAGTGTAAACTAAAGTTCCCCTTCATATGGGACTTTGGGGAGTGCTTTAGACGACCAGTCATTTCTGAAGATATAAAAATTGGCCAATGAAATGTCAATTGAATTGGCGGAGCTTAGCTCCACAGCTGAAACTGATGAACCAATTAGGGCTATAGCAGTTGGCTGTGTTAGTTAGCTCGTCAGAATTGTTGCTTCAGACCCGATCTGAGACCTGAAGAACCCTTTCTGCTGAGCTGACTTCCAAACGAAGAAAGCATTCCTTTCATCGGTGCGAGGGAAGCGGCGGTCGAGCTGGGTTTCCCGTCCCCATGGCGTTTCACTGGTGTTCCAAAAGACCAGTTTCAAGTAAGGGCAGAATTATCTGTTACGTTATAGAACGTATTAATTATTTGTTTGCTAATTTTATATATATAAATATTATATATATACAGATTTGTGTTTTGTTTATGCATTTGGAGCTGATGTTGTGTTGTGCGCTGTGGAGCATGCGCAGCTTTCTCTCTCTCTCTCCCCCTCCCTCTAGAGCTGCGCTTGATTGCGGTCCAGCCGTGTTGCGTGTGGGAGCGTATATAAGCTGGAGGAGAGGAACAATGGGGAGATCTTTCTGCTCGGTGCAGGTCGCAAATCTCCGTCGTCGTCGCTGCTGTTGTTCCGAGCGTCTCCTATCTCCTGCCCCAAACTGTTGGTTGACTTGGGGTGAATTGAATAGATTTCTGTTACTGACAATTTAATTATTTTCTTAAACGGCTCTCTGTGAAATGTGAATCTATTGGCTTTTCTGATTAAATACCTATTTATATATATTAGTTTTGGAGAAACAGAAGCGGTAGGTTGGGAATCGCCATTTACTTTAAAACGTTTTCTCCTGGTTTGTGGTAGCAAGGGAGAAAGGGAAGCTTGCTGTAATTTTATTTGGGGTACTTTTATTTGAGCAGGTAAGTTAGAATTATTTCCCCGCAAGTTAGCTGTCTTTTTGTTTATTATTTTGGCCTGGATTCCCTTCCGAAGAGATGCTTCTATCTTTGTTTTCTAAGTAAATAAATATTGTTACTACTTGATCAGCGTTGTGATTATTGTGAGTTGGGACAGGAGAAGGGGAAAACCCTAAATTGAGTATTTGAGTTTCTCTTTATTTATTTTTTTTACACTTGTTATTGTTCCCACCAACCCTAGACTGGTCGGGACGTAACATATCTAAGACAGCATACGGTCATGCAGCGCGTCTTTTTAAAGATGTTGTTTTGACCGTTCATTTCTGGATGCTGTGGTTTCCTCGCCCCGGATAACAGGCACGAGTATTACGTCACATGCTTAGGGGTCCAACATGTCGATGTGGTGCTCGCGGACAGTTCTTGCTCGCACTGCGATGGCTTGACTGTTGCGCAACTGAGGTCGCAGCGAGCTCTTTTATTAGAGCAAGTCACCCTTGCTGCTCCCAGCCAAACGGTTAGGACTCGGGCAGGCCTGAGGGTTACAGTGGGGGCTAATCCGTCGCCTTCGGGCCCGCGAACCCCTTGCTCCTCATCAGTGCGCTCTGTTTCTGCTTCAAGTGTAAGCACTGGTCCATCCTCCGGGCAGGCCGCGCTCTCATTAGATGACACCGGGGACATGATCTCCATCGAAGCATCGGAGGGCAGGTTGACATGCTCCCATGAAGATCCGGACCCTCTGCCACCCTTCGGTGTTGTCAGCAAGGTTTCAGACCTGGAGTCGGACATGTTAGCCGTGTTATCCCAGGCTGCTTCGGCCATGGTACTGGAGATGGCTTGTCCCCCAGAACCGCGGCCGAACCGATTAGATGGGTGCTACGTGGGGGTAAAGAAGAAGACCAAGCCTTCCAGACCCTCTGTCCCCTTCTTCCCGGAGTTACACAGAAAGCTCACGCAGGCATGGAGGGCACCTTTTTCTGCCTGGACCTCATGGGCTCCCGCTCTCACCTCTCTCGATGACGGAGCGGCCAGGGGTTATGAGGCAATTCCCCAAGTGAAGCGAGCTTTTTCCAAAGTGAAGCGAACTTTAAATCCCTCGCTGCTGGCCTCCGGGCTGGCGGCAACCAAATTCTCAATAAAAGAGCAGTTTCCTATCTCTCCGGATGCGCAAACCCGATCACTGCCAGTCTAGGACGCTCCGCCTTCCAGCTCGCAGCAGCAGGAACCTTCGCCTCAGGCCCTCAGAGTGCAGCAGAACAGACTACTTTCTCTCACTCCGGCCTCACTGTGGGATCCAGGGAGGAAGGTAAGAGAGATTCTCTTATTTTCCGCTCTTCCTCGGGCCGCACCGCTTCCCAGGATGAGCACTCTCGTCCCAAGCTGCCCCTCCGCTGGCACATCAGCGATTGCTCCAATGGTGCCATTAGCGCACGCTCTGTCAGCTTGGTTAGCGCTGCCCAGCGCGTCGCGGTGGCTCATATGGACGATCATACTAGGCTACGTGATACAATTCACTATTCGCCCTCCCAAATTCACTGGTGTCCTTTTCACGAGAGTCATCCTCGAGAGCGCCTCTGTCTTGCGAGAGGAGATTGCTGTCCTCCTGGCGAAGGATGCAATCGAGTAGGTCCCTCCAGCCGAGATGAAGTCCGGGTTTTGCAGCCCATATTTCAAAATGAGCGGGGGGTTAAGGCCAATCCTAGATCTGTGCAGCCTGAACTGTCATTTACACAAAATACCTTTCAGAATGCTCATGCAGATTGGTTTGCAGCCATAGACCTGAAGGACGCATATTTTCACGTCTCCATTCTTCCACGCCACCGCCCCTTTCTCCGGTTAGCGTTCGAAGGACAGGCATGGCAATACAAAGTCCTTCCCTTCGGGCTCTCTCTGTCTCCGCAGGTTTTCACCAAGCTCGCGGAGGGTGCCCTAGCGCCACTCCAGTTGGGGTTTCAGGTCAACCGAGAGAAATGCAAACTTTGCCCTGTGCAGAGGATCTCTTATCTCAGGCTGGAGCTGGATTCGGTCGCTATGATTGCGTGCCTCTCTGAGGAGCGCGCCAGGCTGATGCTTTCCTGTGTAAACTAGCTCCACAGGAAGATAGTGTTCCCACTGAAATGTTTTCAGATGCTCCTGGGGCATATGGCAATGCAGCCACAGTTACGCCGCTCAGTTTGCTTCATAAAAGATCACTTCAACGTTGGCTTCGCGATCGAGTCCCCAAACGTGCATGGCACGCAGGCACGCACCAGGTGCACGTCACTCCGCTGTGTCTCCGCACCCTCAGCCACTGAAAGGATCTGGTTTTTCTACGGGCCGGAGTGCCCCTAGGTCTAGTATCCAGGCATGTTGTAGTAACGACAGATGCCTACAGCATGGGCTGGGGGGCCGTGTGCAATGAGCATGCAGCCGCAGGTTTGTGGTCCGGACCCCGCCTGCATTGGCATATCAACTGCCTGGAGCTGTTGGCAGTGTATCTAGCTATCTGCCGCTTTTTACCGGTGCTGGAGCGGAAACACATGCTGGTCAGGACGGACAGCATGGTAACGGTGGCTTATATCAACCGTATGGGGGGTATATGCTCCCGCCACATGTCTCAGCTCGCTCGCCTTCTGCTCCTTTGGAGTCAAAAGCGGCTGAAATCGCTGCATGCCATCTACATTCTGGGCAAGCTCAACCGTGTAGCCGATGCGCTCTCACGGCAGCTAGTGTCTCGGGGAGAGTGGAGACTCCACCCCGATTCCATCCAGGGTGCTGCATGCCATCTACATTCTGGGCGCGCTGGAAGCCCAGATCGATCTGTTTGCTTCCACTGAGAACGCACATTGCCAGCTGTTTTATTCCCTGACCGAAGCCCCCCTCGGCACGGATGTACTGGCTCACAGCATGCGCAAATATGTGTTTCCCCCAGTGAGCCTAATCATACAAACTTTGTGCAAAGTCAGGGAGGGCGAGGAGCAGGTCTTGTTTGTTGCGCCCCTCTGGCCCAACCGGACCTGGGTTTCGGAGCTCACACTCCTCGCGGCGGCCCCTCCTTGGCGCATTCCCCTAAGGGAGAACCTCCTCTCTCAGGGATGAGGCACCATCTGGCACCCAAGCCCAGATCTCTGGAACCTCCACGTGTGGTCCATAGATGGAGCCCCAAAGACTTAGGTGACTTACCGCCCGCGGTACTTAACACCATCATTTAGGCTAGAGCACCCTCCACGAGGCATGTCTATGCTCTGAAGTGCAGTCTATTCTCTGAGTGGTGCACTTCTCGTCGAGAAGACCCCCGAACTTGCCAGATTAGCATTGTGTTATCCTTCCTTCAGTATAAGCTGGAGCGTAGGCTGTCACCCTCCACACTAAAGGTTTATGTGGCTGCAATCTCCGCTCATCATGACGCGGTAGATAGCAACAGTCTCGGGAAGCATGATCCAATCATCCGATTCCTCAGAGGCGCGCGGCAGTTAAATCCGTCCCGCCCCCCTCTCATGCCCTCTTGGGATCTCTCTCTAGTCCTAGCAGGTCTGCAGAGAGATCCGTTTGAGCCACTCAAGTCAGTATCTCTTAAAATTCTGTTATTAAAAACAGCTCTGCTGATCGCATTGGCGTCATTCAAGAAAGTTGGGAATCTGAAGACATATTCGGTCAGCGGATCGTGAATTTGGGCCCGGTTACTCTCACATTGTCCTGAGACCCCGGCCTGGCTATGTGCCCAAGGTTCCTACCACCCCATTTAGAGATCAGGTGGTGAACCTGAGGCAGGCTCAACCCACTTACTGCTGTGTCCCTTTCGCGCTTTGCGCCTTTACGTGGAACAAATGCAAAATGTAAGATCATGTGAACAGCTCTTTATCTGTTATGGTGGTCGGAAGAAGGGAAGTTGTGTATCAAAACAGAGGTTGGCCCAATGGTTAGTTGATGCTAATCATAATCATTGACTCAGCGGAGGAGTCAAATGCATGGCTCAGTGTGCGGTTGGTACGCCCATTTGGTCTATACACTAATTAAGGATCGGTGCCAGCTATATGTATCCCCATTTGGTGATGCCATATGCATTATAACCACGGTGTGTTCCCCCTTATCAGGCGGTCCCGTGTCTTCCCTAATCCCTAACCAGTTTATCATATGTAGCACTCCCTCTCATTAGGGCTAGCCCATATGCCTCCTTACCATCAGGTCTCCCCTTCTGGGTAGCAGGTGGTCTCTGCTGCGTCCTCCCCCTGCGGGGACTGAGGCTTTCCCAACGTACTGTCGTATTTCCAAAAATCCCAAGTCTATTTCAGCTAGATAAAAGCACACTTACGACCCCCGATTAAACTTTAAACATTTATTACCATGTAATGGTAATATGTTGGGCCTAGGGGACGTTGGAAGGTTGAGCTCTTGGTGATATCAGTGCGCTCACGCTTTGGCTTGGCAAACTACACATCAGGAGCACGACGGGCTTGGTTGCTGTGGCGCTTTCCATACAGTCTCCCAAAGTCTGTTTATACAGACACACGTAGAAGTTCTCATATGAAGGGGAACGTTCAGGTTATGTACGTAACCCACATTCCCCGAATAGGGAACGGAGACGTGTGTCTCCACTGCCACAGCACCTGAGTCTCCAGCTGGGAGCTGAGCGATCGGGTCTTCAGCAGGCAAAATTCTGATGAGCTAACTCACACAGCTGTGGAGCTAAGCTCCGTCAATTCAATTGGCATTTCATTGACCCGTTTTTATATTTACAGAAATGATTGGTCGTCTAAAGCACTCCCAAAGTCTGTTTATTCAGACACACGTCTCCGTTCTCTATTAAAGGGAACGTGGGTTTCATTTGTTTATTTTCGTCATGGTCTCTTTATTAATCAGGGGTTGCCACAGAGGAACGAAATGCCAACTTATCCAGCATGTTTTACGTAGCTGATGCCCTTTCAGCCACAACCCAACAATGGGAAACATTCATACACACTACGGCCAATTTAGCTTATTCAATTCACTTATAGCACATGTATTTGGATTGTGGGGAGAACCGGAGCACCCAAAGGAAGTCCACGCCAACATGTAGAGAACAGGCAAACTCCACACAGAAATGCCAACTGATCCAGTTGGGACTCGAACCAGGACCTTTTTGGTGTGAGGCAACAGGGCTAACAACTGAGCCATTGTGCTGCCCCTGTTTAAACACGTTTGATATTTTTTTCTCAGTTAAACACAGAAGATATTTTGAAAAATGTTGGAAATTGGTAGCCACTAACTTCTATGGTACACTGTAAAACGTGCAGGGTTCCACACAATTTATGCATGTTGTCCCAACACAAATCAATTAAGTCAATGTAACAAATTTAAATGGATTGAACATAAAATAATTAAGTTTCCTAAAAAATTGTCTGTAGAATTGTGTTGTTTCAGCTCATCTTAAATAAGTAGTTTGAGTGTAGTTTTTCCTATTACTATTGATGTCAATGGCTACCTTTTCCCAACATACTTGAAATGTGTTTTGTGATCTTCAAAAGGCATATGGAACCACAAATTTTCATTTTTGGGTGAACTACCACTTTTGGAAAATGGCCAATTTTTTTATTTTCAAAACATAGTCTAAAAATAATGCTTATACCCACCATATTCTTTAACCTGAAAAAATTCTAGAAATTTTCCCTTGTTGGTTTCAACTGACAGCTCATATAAACCAACAGAAGCCTCTGGGTTCAATGAATGGGAAAGCTGCAGAATTTTGCCATGGGTGGATGTGGCATTAATCCACTGATTAATTCTGTTCCCTCGATTGTCCTGTTTTCATGAGAAGGTACTGAAGATATTTAATGCACTAAAAACAGGAACATTTATTCACAAAAACAATAAAAAGGTAAAACCAATAAATAAAGTTTACCTGGATTGCTATCAGTTTGTACTGTGGATATAGACAGATACTGTTAGTTTAGGTTTGCATAACACTGAATTTTTACCCATGGTTTACTCTTAGTTCAAAGGCTGAAGGAGCATTTCAAATATTTGTATAGACAAATAAATATACACAAAGCTTCAATTCCAAAAAACTCACAATTTAGATAATTAATGGTTATATTGCATGCTTTTAAACAATTACATTTTAAATGCAAACAATAAATTGCAACCTACGGTTTCATCAACTGGTTTAAAGTCAAAGTCAATTGTGAAAATCCTGAATTGAACTGGAAAATATAAAATAAATGTTATTTGTCAAGTCAAGTGCATACTCAGTTTAGCTTATTGTAAAGTGAAAATACCTGTTTTTCCAGGATTGTAGATTGGTTTATCAGTTTTTATTAGAGTCAGTGGATTATGTGAAACAAACTTGACTTTTCTCTTTTCGATCAGATGTGTGTATTTCCCTTGAGCTTCCACATAAATCTCCTGCACAGACGCTGACTCAGGAGCCTGTTAAACAAATATTTCAAGACATTTAACCCACAAAAAGCATAGATGTGCTGTTTTAAACAACTCCCATATAGCATTCTGTGTATAATATAATGTTAATAACTTGAAAGTCAAGGCAGCGATGGAATTCCTTCTCTGTTTTCTCCTGCAGAAGTGTTCGGTTCTGGTTACTGCTAACCAGAGTAATGGTAAGCTGCAGATTTTTTTCTGGTTTCAGAAGGCTCATACATAATTTAGCCTCTGAGCCTGATCTTATAATGGCTGGAAATGTCACCATAAAATTCCTGCAAAAGCAAGTTATGGTGAGTGACAAACTATCAATAGTATTTTGATGAAAAACATGCACATACTGTACAAACAAACATAAGAGGACACTCAAGTGAACTGATACTTTTTAAAAAGTTGCAGCACTTACGGTTTAGATGTTCCTTGACTGACAAACAACAAAAAACATGTTATTAATAGTCCTCTTTTGTGAATCAAAGCCATCATGGGGAAATGCGAAAAATGCTTCCAAGAAGTGTCTAAACCAATTCCAAACACAGTGTCTATGTATTGGACTGGACATATGACCTTAGTGATGATTAACCCAGGTAATAGCAGGATTACTCATAATTTTAAAAAAAAGTATTAAACCCAATTTAATAAATGTATATAATATGAGTGATGTTCTCATAGCTTTTTATCACAATTACGGGAGAACTACTTGAAAACCAAATCTGAGGGATCAAAAAAATCTAAGAATTGAGAAAAACGGCTTTAAAGTTCTCCAAATGAAGTTTTTCACATTGCATGTTATTAATCAAGTTTTATTTTGATGTTATTTACATTGAGTAAATTTACTACATTTCTACTTGGAACACGATCTTAACATACAATCTATAATACTTTTTTGTTCATAAATGAAATAATCAATCATTTTGTCTCATACAATGCATTGTTAGATATTACAAATACACCCATGCAAATTAGAACTACTTTTTTTTGGTCCATGGTCATATTTAATGTAACCCAAAAGATAAACAGAATAAAAAAGTCTCAAAATTCATTTATTAACATTTAAACAAAGCATTTGTGACTATTAACAATCTTTGAAAAAATCCTTTAACCCAATTTACTATACAGTTCAAAGCATACATCAAATGCTGATACTCTAAATGTGTTTGTAACAAACACCCCATGGCATTGCAGCCCACGTTTACTGTACTGCTGAAAACATTGCATTAAGCAAAACTCTCATTGCATCAGTGTTTTTTAAATATTTACACAAATCTGTTTTGCTTCATGGTCAGTGTGCTCACAGGCAACAACCTCACAAGAGTAGAAAGTAATTATACCAACTGGTTGAACAGAGCAATAGTTAATAGCACACTTTTCTTGCTTCATTTGATGTATTAATAACTGTGTAATCAAATACAAAAGCGTGGCGTGATATCTATAATTCTCTGTTTATTCATTTTACACCACAAACAATAAAGAATTTCTTTCATTTTATTAGCAACAGGCCATGAATTGCATAGACGGGTTAAAAAAGGATTTTAGGATCAGCATCCAGAAGCATCAGGCGCAGGGTGATGAATACAACGTCTCTGACTGATCACCTTAAAGAAGGAAAAAAAAACAAAAAAACAAGATAGAGTAAAATAAAATATAAAATAAAATATCAGTAATATAAATCAGGTTAAGAATCGTGAGAAGAGATGAAACCATACTTGTTTGATAGTAGTCATAGACTTTGATAACAGCAGGTCTTAGACTTCTCACAGGAAAGGCTTGCTTCATTTGTATTGTGTAGAGCTGTGGACTATTTTTTGGCACCTGAAAGAACCAGAGAACAATCAATATAATCGACAATAAAAACACAATGTCAACTCATGAATACTGCAGTCATCTCACCTCTTTCAGATACACCATGATATGATCGTCTTCAGAATCAACCCGCTCCACAAGCAGTGCATACATATGTGGTGGAATCGCAAGCTGAAAAGGGTTCCACATCAATGTTTATGTGCAATGTTTTTTTTTTTTGTTTTTTTTTTTTGGCTGTGGTGGCTTTCAACAGTTTGTTTATCCCAAAATCAAAATGATAATTTTCTCCAAAGATCTTTTTTTAATCCCAAAAGACACGTTGAGGTATTATTTCATAAATTTTTTTACCCAAAGCTCTCATGCTTCAAAATATTTGTAAGATAAAAACTAAACCCATATGAAGCAAATGGTTTCTTAAAGGATTTCTGAAAAGACACAGAAGCTTTATATAATGAACAGATTGAATTTAAGCTTTCATGCACATATGCAACCATTTATCAGTAAACATAAACAAAAGTTCAACCATGACACCTACGACAAACATTACTGGTTCTTACGGAAGCTGAAATGTGCTGCGTGAAACAAGCAGAGTTATGTGTAAATCATGATTGAGCAGCACAGATCAAACATGAAAGCTTTGACCATTGCTTACCAGTTTTGATGTAAATCATAATCCTAATTACATCTCATCATTGTATAAAGTGACTGTGTTTCTGCATGAGGCTTGGATTAAAATAGCTTTTTTTCTGAAAACTGAAAGTGTCAGAATCTTGGGTAAACAGGTTTTTATAAGAGAAACACTCAGATTTGATAAAAAAAGATGAGCAAATATCTCATGGCTTTGAAAAGACAAAAAGCATGAGTAAATGTGTTTTCATTTTGGGTCAACCTTTGATAGCTTTTGAAATTTCAAAATTACATAAAATTCACTGTAAATGTCAATTTTAAAGTAAAACTAACCATTGATGTATCCGCTGTGAACCCCGAAAGGAGTTTAATGTCTACAATGACCATGTTAGTACGGGTTTGTGTCCCACTGTATCTGTAAAAAAAAAAAAAAAAATTAAAATCTTTAAAAAAGTTTAACTGACTCCCAAATATGACCCTAATAGGCTTCCCTTTAAGAAACAATTAAAGCCTTTCATTAATGTGCATGATACGAAATGAAATTGCTTACTTGATGGTGAAGTTCAACATGAGGTTTTTGGCAGTAGATGCAAGGCAATCTCCAGTAACGCTAGCTTCGACACTCAGCGTTTTGATGGTAGGGGGAGGTGTTGGGATATTATAGAACAGGGGGATCTGTGACAATTAAATAAGTACAATACGGTGAACTGAGTATTGTTTGGTTAAGTATGATTTAACCACACTCAAATTTAATCCTCTGCATTTCACCCATGCAAGTTTACAGAAACATTATAAGCGAGAAGTAAAAGATCAAACTTGTTTTCAACCCAGGCTCATTCTGAAAACGCTTTATACATTTTTGGAGTACGCCAATTACGTCCCAGGAGGAACATTTTCTTGCCGTTTTTGTTTTTGCGAATGCACCAGAGGACGCTGTGTACGCTTTTCGAGATCTCAAATATCTTTCCCGAGTCGGATGTCGAGAGGCTGCTGTTGACTGACTGACTGATCGATCGACTGACCCACCGCCCTCCTTTCCTCAACCAAACCAAAAGTGCTTTTACAAGCACTGATTGACCTGCCAACCCACTTTTCTAAACTCAACTGACAGTTTTAGAAAAGCAATCCAGAAAAAGAAAGGCCCTCGCCTTTAAGTGTTAATTTTATTTTTTGGCTTCTGTTTTTGTCTTGCCCGCTTTCTGGAAGCATTGTTCATATGAATCAAACCCTTTTTATCGTGGTCATTTTCTCTCAAGTGTGCCGAAGTACATGGCAAGCTACTGGTCGAAACTGGAAACAGCAAGAAAGCCGTCCATACAGAGGTAAGCTGTCAGCTGGTAAGTGCGAAAAGGAATGGCGACATAACGCCCCATTGCGTAAGTTTTAAAGTCGAAATGCAGCCAAACGTACTTCTAGCTACATAATTCGTGGTCCTAAGAAATGTATATAAGGCAACAATTTCAGAATGAGCATATGCTGCTTGTTTTAGTGGTTTATGAGGACTCTCCATTAGAATAATTTATTTTAGCGTAAAATTGCTTAATTTATCACCTTACCTTAACCCTACACCTAAACCCAACACTCACAGGAAACCTGTGCCAAATTTTTAATGTGAAAAGCCCTGTTGAAAATAATTTTAATTATGTGGGCATTAGGCATGTCCTCATAAACCACACACCCTGTGAGCTCAGAGACTAATTAAGAATTAGGTGCTTTACTCAGGTACTTTAGCTGGTTATCAAAAGTAGGAGAGAGCGCTGTACATTCTACACCCCACCTACAATTCTGGAAATCAGAACTTTAGATTACAAAGACTGACCACCAAACAATCAGGCCATAACTGCTTCACATCAGATCCACAACAGGCTGAGAAAAAGAAATCACTGGGAAAAAAACACCAAGATACGCAAAACAGACCTGCACAGACACACAGGCTGAACCCTTGACTTCAATGCTGTATTTGCCCGGCACATTGGCCAGCTGCTTCTCCTGGTACAGTAACTTGTTGTCCTGATTGACATCAAAGTGTTGAGAGTCTCCTGCTGACTGTACAGTCACTGTGCTGGAGCCGTCAGAGCTGAACACTTTGGTGGCGTACAAAGACAGAGCCTGAAGAGCCACCACTGTGTCCTGGGAAAGAAATGAGTTCAGTCATGTGACAATTTTAGCCATTCAGCAATAATGTGTTTGATTTGAGGAACCTGTGTGGAGGAGAATCCTCCATAGGCATTCTGCTGCTTCACAAGCCAGCTGACAATCCTGTTAGCAAAGCCCAGATCAGCTGTAGTGAGTGAATCTGCAGTGAGAACAGCTAGCAGCACATATGAGCTGATCTCCACATCCAGAGAATCAGAGTCATCAGCAGATGCAGACTGAGACCAGTGGACAAGAGGACCTTTAGGACACAAAAGACAAACTCAACCAGCAGGACAAAAGCAACAGTGCAGTGCAGAATGTCATCAGAAAGCAATCTCTTACCGTCTGAAATAGCAAGATTCTCCAGTTTGTTGAAAAGCTGCTGTCGAGTGTTGGTGTCTCTAGCCAGACTGAAAGTGTAGGCCAGCAGAGCAGTGGTGTAAGTGTTTTTGACGTCCTCAATGACGAACCTCAAGCATGACAAGCCTTTAGTGACAACAGGATTCTGAGACACAAACAGACAAGCAGATGCTGCAAGTGTCATCTTAGCATGAGATTATCCTGAGTTTCCTGATGATGAACTTACTGTGACAGGAGTTTCCAGCTCTAGCAGTGATGCAGTAATGTAGGCCGTCATGGTCACCTTATCATTCACTCCACCCTATGACAGAGGACAAAGAATAACAAAACAACACAAGATAATACAAAAATACTTCTGATTACAACATAGATTATCTGGTTAAAAGGAACTAATTGCAAACCTTCATTCGACTGTTAAACAGTCTTCCCTGCTGGATAAAACATCCATCTGAATCCCGTCTGCTTATTAACCAATCCTTTGCACTCTGAATAATTTGTGGATCAACAAATATGTACCTCTGTGCTTTGTCAAAAGACCTCAGGACAAAAGCAGTCAACCTGTTGGCGAATATAGTATTGTAAACAATTGAATACATTTAGAAAG